CCCCCCCCCCCCGCCCCGCAGTCCATACCCCGTGGAATCATGAATTCTTTCTCCCTGCTGGTTCACGTCACATTCAGTGCGGGGAGGCTGCGGCTTCAGCCACAGTGTTCGACACGTAAGAGGCTGCGGGCCGTGTAGCGAGTCCCTCGTCATCAGAGATAACCAAGCGGAAGCCACAGACCCGGAGCCCGTTCCAGCTGCAATGGATAGGGTGACAGGCTCCTTGCAGCCCAGCCTGTGATGCTCTGACCGGTCAAGTCTGAGGTGTCAGGACGTCCCTGGCCTCTCTCGTCCCTCCCACAGGTACGACGCCGGCCGGGACGGCTTCATTGACCTGATGGAGCTGAAGCTGATGATGGAGAAGCTCGGGGCTCCGCAGACCCACCTGGGCCTGAAAAACATGATCAAGGAGGTGGATGAGGACTTTGACAGCAAGCTCAGCTTCCGGGAGGTAAGTCTGCTCCCCACGTGGACGACTGGGGGGCTTGTGCTCGACCGTTGAATGGCTCATAGTTGGCTGAGGGACGCTCCGGTGGGGATCCTAGAGCGGCCACCGTGGGGATCCTGAGGTGCCTGAAGTGAGAAGGAGGGACATCCATTCCTTCATGTAGTAAGCACTTACGGAGTGACTTCTGACCCTGGGTGCAGCTTTGGAAGTCCAGAGAAAGGCCTTGTGCTCCAAGGGCCCTGGAGCACAGAGGGGGAGATTCCCAGGGAGTGAAATGGCAGAGTGCCGTGACGCAGGAGAAGAGGGGGACAGATGGAGGAAGTGACACGACTGTGGTCCGAGAGGGGCCAGGCTCTGCGCTGGGTGACTTCACACCCTGGATCTCACTGGGTTCTCACTCTGGGACAGGAGTCATGGGCAAGCCTGTTCTCTGGAGGAGGCAATGGAGGCTCCCAGCCAGATAACAGCAGCACCGGACCGCAGGCAGCCCAGGCCGAAGGACAGGGGCGGCCTCCTTCGGAGAACTGGCAAGAAGCATAGAGGAGGCAGGACAAGAGAACGGTAGTGGGAGGACGAGTCCAGGGAGGAAGGTGCAGGCAGTGCAAGATGAAGGAGGCAGGACACGGGTTCAGAACCTTCTTTTGTCACTTTCTGCCGCTGAGATTTGGGGGCAAGTTTTTTCCTTGCCTCTGAGTCTGCCTCAGTCTGTAAAATGGTCACAATCGTATACTTTCAGGACTCGGTGCGTGGAGCTTTTTTTTTTTTTTTTTAAGTTATTTATTTTGAGAGAGAGCGCAGGGGAGGGGCAGAGAGAGAGGGAGAGAGAGAGAATCCCAAGCAGGCTCCGCCCTGTCAGTGCAGAGCCCGACGCGGGTCTCGAACTCGTGAGTCCTGAGATCATGACCTGAGCTGAAATGAAGAGTCGGCTGCTTAACTGACTGAGCCCCCCAGGCGCCCCTAGTAAATGGAACTTCTGAGCAGATTAGTTTGAGGAGCAGTGAGACAATGGTACGGGGTAGCTTGGGGCTCTTCGTGGGATCTGAACGTGGGCAAACAGGCCTGCAGTAGCCCCAGATCCTGGGAGAGCGGGAGATGTGTCACCTTGCCTCCCATTGTACAGGTGGGCAAGCTGAGGCCCAGAGCTGTAGGGGCCCAGAGCATGGAGGGGGAGAGCCCAGACCTCTGGCCCCGTGCCCCTCCCTGACACCTCGTGCCTTTTCCCTTCCGCAGTTCCTCCTGATTTTCCGCAAGGCAGCGGCTGGGGAGTTACAGGAGGACAGCGGGCTGCACGTGCTCGCCCGCCTTTCCGAGATCGATGTCTCCACCGAGGGCGTCAAGGGGGCCAAGAGCTTCTTTGAGGCCAAGGTGAGGAACCAGAGGATGTGTGGGGCTCGGGGGGGTAGGGGGTGGGGGTCCCCCGACCCCGGCACGAGGAGAGGGGTGGCCGGGGTGTGACGGGACCCGAGTTAGCACGAGGGTCAGTGCTAGTCCTTCCCGTCCCCGCCGAGGAGCGGAGCACTGACGCCCGGGCTGGACCGCGCGAGGCCCACAGCACTCCTGGCTTCTGTCGCCTTCCAGCCAGGCTGTGGTCCCTGCCAGCTTCTCCTGTGTCTCCCTGGCCCCCGGGCAGGTGAAGGGCGTAGACTCTTGAAGAGTGGACATGGACCCCTCTGTGCTGCCCCTGGCAGACCTGTCCTTGAACGCTGGGCCCAGGAGACAGCAGAGCAGGCCCAGCTCACGGGCCCCCCCTGGCCTGGAGGGGGTGTGGGCCCCAGAGGCCGTCCCCGTGCACAGCACATCCCCGTGCAGCACATGCTCAGGTGGAGAGAACAAATAGGGCTCCTGGATTCTCCGCCCCCGGGCACCTGCTTTCCCGTTTCTCCCTCTTCCCATGTTAGCTAAGAACATTCCTTCTGAAGGTCACCTCCCACCTCCCTCTTTGCTTCTGGGGTTGACGGGCCATTTCAGGGATCGTCAGTGGGAACAGGTGTGCATCCGGGCTTCTCGGGACGGGAAACCCGAAGAGCAGCATCGAAAGCCCCCCCCTTGCGGGACTTAACACTAGGCGGTGGCCACCGAACGTACGTTCGAGCTTCCACCCCGCTCGGTGAATCCACGAGGCCGGTTGTCGGGCAGCAGGCTCTGAATGGAGAAACTGAGGCCCAGGGCCAGAGCCGGTGCGAGCCGGGCGTGGGCCGGCGGGACACCTGGGGGCAGATCCCTCTCCCGCCCTGCCTGACCCACCTCGTCCCCGCTCGGCTGTAGGTCCAGGCCATCAACGTGTCCAGCCGCTTCGAGGAGGAGATCAAGGCAGAGCAGGAGGAAAGGAAGAAGCAGGCGGAGGAGATGAAGCAGCGGAAGGCGGCCTTCAAGGAGCTGCAGTC